TTAGAGAGAAATTGACGCTCCCGACGACTGCGGCCTACTTCAGCAAAACCTCAACCGCCTATCCACATGGTCTGAAGAAGTTCATCTCCCGATCAAACTAGCCAAGTCTGTATTTATGCGCCTGGGTAAGGGTGCTGACGGCCGAACCTACACCCTTGACGGCCAACCTCTATATCCCACACCCTCCGTGAAGGACCTAGGTGTGCTCTCGCGCTACAATTTGAAGTCCATGGACAACACAAACAGGCTATATCGTAACGGACTGCGCATGCTTTGGGCGCTCAAACGTAGCTTCAGCACATCGTCTGAAGAGGTTGCCACTTGTCTCTTCCATCATTAGACCAATGCTAGAGTACGGTTCGCCCGCTTACTTTCCGATTATCCGAGGCGAGGCACAAAAGATCGATCGGGTCCAACACGTTGCTACCAGGCTCATCTTGAGTTTACGAGGCTTGGGGTATGAAGACCGGTGTGAGAAACTAGGACTCTACACCTCATCTTACCGTCGGGTGCGAGTCCACCTCATTATGACCCACCGTATTCTACATCTCGGTGACTTCCCCATGCTGAGGCCAATGCTGCACTTACGAGGGTCATGCAGCACACGCGGACACAGATACAAACTTGTCGTGCCGGATGTGAAATGTGTTCCCCACCCACTGTGCTTCGAACGGAGAGTGGTAAACATTTGGAACAGTTTACCTGAACATGTGATTGAGGCAACATCTGTGCAACAGTTCAAAACGTTGTTAGATTTATATTTTACCACTATTCGATTCAGAGAACGATTGCACACTTACGATGACGTATCACATTTGTGAGTCCTGCAAGATCGTGAGTCAGGTATCTTAAATGTTACATGAGAACGACAACAATATTCACGGTTGGCAATTTTTAAGACATTTTTCACCATACTTCGAAAGAGTTTTGCAGAATTCATTTCTACTTGCTCTATAATACATTATTCAGTATTCAAGAGAGATGCCTAGGCCTTCTAATACCTGAAATCAATGTTTCCGAAGATCAGCGATGGGAAGCTCAAAGAAGGGACACTTCTTGGGCCTGATATTCCCCAGGTACTGACAGACAGTGCTTTCGAATGCCAGTTGACTTCACTTGAGTTAGAAGCGTGACGAACATTCAGCGTAGTAGGTACAGGATTTTTGGGCAGAACAAACTCAGAGAACTACAAAGACATCACAAAAAGCACATTGCGGACTATCGGGCTGTTGGTTCTCGAATATCACTCAAGATACACTTTTTGCATAAGCACCTTGACTTTTTCCCTTAGAATTTGGGATCTGTTGGCGATGAGCATGGTGAGCACTTGCACCAAGGCATTCCAGTTATGGAGCACCGCCCCAGTGGCAAGTACGCGCCTTCTATGGTGGGCGACTTTTGCTGGTTTCTGCAGCGTGACGGCGCTGGATCATACAAACGACGATCTCGGCGAATTCATCATTTCCCAGTGCCAAGCTGCAGGCATTAATTAGCGGTGAATGTTGCAGTGGTGTTTTAAACGTATTTGTCACATAGATGCATTCTGTATGTGTTGGGATTCAGTACAGTTAAGCATTGTTCGTACGACGTAGCCTTGACATTACTTGCTTTGCTTATTACATAGTAAGCTGGCCTGCTAGATAACATCGGAAGACATTTCTGTGATCACTGGAGTGTATTCTACAAGATAGCGACATTGGCATTTCTGTTATAGAAAATAAAAATTTTGTTACACAGTGTTATTAGCCTCAATCGAGATTTCGTTTCGCAATCCAAACGCACGGCAAGTACTCAAAAAACCACTAATGACCTGCTAACCGTTGTGTCAAGCGCTGCTATGAAGCATTGGCCTAGAGACCAAGACAAAAGCCCCCAACCACTGTGTTGGGCTTCCCTTTCGACTGTCGGGTCCAAATAAGGACAAAACCAGTCTATCATGGTGCGCTTTGTTGCAAAATGTAGCCCTGAAACTTCCCTTGATTGCGTATTATTTCAGCAGCATCTTAAACCTTATTATCATCCCCCCATCGTGATCTAAACGTAACAAGTTTGCCTTGTAATCTGACCTCGACCCTACCGTAGTGCGATGGTTTGTGTGCTTCATCGATCCATTGATCTCTGCTGGCTAGTACTTTTTGCACCTTCACAAACACTCATACCAGATTGGTCAATGGTTAGAGGCCAGACAAACGCAGAGTCCTAGTCCTCCAGATTCGGGGTTAGAATGGGGGTGGCTCCTTATTCCTTGTAGCCCACTGCTAAATCTGCTGTCTTGCGGTCAGATTTTTCAACCAAAGGCTTTGCTTGAGAACCCTAATCGTTCTCCTGTATATGTCTTGACTACCTGACAGTATCCTGTTCACGCAATACCATTCATCTTTTCTCAAACCATTTCCTGATGCTCCGGCCACTGCAGGGGGTAACCAACGGTGCCCTATCTGCTGCATCGTGCAAGGTGGATAGGGGTTTGGGTACTACTGCTCAAGCCCTCCCATCTCCATATCCTCTTTCTAACGCTTTTTCACCCCTATCGTCCCGTCCCAGCTTCACTTTTATCCCCCTGTTTTCAATCTCCCAATTCTTGACCTTCTCCCACCATGCTTTGATAGATGTTTATCTTCTAGTTTCAACTCACATGCAAACGCACAGCGTCACTCCTGCCCTGTCGACAAGCCAATGGTCAGCGAACTGTGTCAAATAGGGTCAAATAAAGTCAGCTCGCACCGACAACACGGGCTTTACCAATTCGCTATAATTATTCAACCTCCGTCCGAATAAACCCAGACTCCCTCATACTTCCGTTCAACTTTCATCATCTAATGCTTATCCAATTTATTCATGTAAACGCCTTCGCCTGATGTAACTTACTGAAACGATATCCCTTTGCAACCTTGTTTTCTTAAATTACTAGTGAAACTTTGGGAGCAGGAAACTGTCCCAACCAACTGCATCCGCGCCGTTATTGTCCCGATCCTCAAAGGAGGCTCGCGTTCAGAATGCGGCAACCATAGAGGAATCAGTCTGATCTCCATCGCCTCCTAAGTGCTTGCCTCACTCATCCTTCACAGACTGACTGGTACTCCTGAAAGCCAGATTCGTGACGAGCAAGCCGGGTTTCGTCGTTCTCGGGGATGCATCGGCCACGTATTCACATTACGTCAGTTGTTGGAGCACCGTCACATATATTGGCGGCCCACCGTTGTTGTGTTCCTTGACATCAAAGGTACCTTCGATTCAGTGGACCGACGTGCCCTTTGAAACTGTCTGCTAAGGAAAGGTGTGCCCGAGAAGCATGTAAATGTTGTGCGCGCGTTTTACGCGCGTAGCTCAGGCAGAGTGAGGGCTTACGATCAGCTGTTGCCGCCCTTCAATATTTCCAGCGGCGTGAGACAAGCATGCCCGCTGTCACCTTTCCTCTTCAACTTCGCTATTGACGAAGTCATGAGAATCGCGTTTACAGGACACGACTTGGAATGTGTAGATCTGCTCCCAGGAGAACGACTTATTGACTTGGAGTATGCTGACGATATTGCCCTCATCTGTGACAGCTCACAAACGTGCCAAGCGGCACTGGACAGATTAGCAATGACTGTCACCGGTTTCGGGCTATGCTTTGCGTCCACGAAGTGCAAAGCATTCCTTTAAAATTGGCAGGAACCGTCTTCTGCGCTGACCCTTGGTGGGGACCAGCTAGAAATCGTTCAAAAATACAACTACCTGAGAAGTTGTATTAGCGCCCCTGGGATGGATAACGAGATCACAAAATGTGTAGCAAAAGCTCGAGACGCTTTTGCTAACCTTCGTCACCAATGGTGCCGGCACGACATCACTCTCGCCCTGAAGGGTAGAGTATAAAATGCAGCCGTACGTTCGACCCCACTGTATGGTTGTGAAACCTGACCCCTTAGATCAGTGGACATAAGGAGGCTAGTTACGTTGGAGCACCGGTGCCTTCGCAGTTTGGCTCATATTTGGTGGGAACACCATGTGAGCAATGAGCGTGTCCGAAGCCTTGTTTATGGCGTAGGAAGGAGAAGCGAACCGCTCAGCACCGTTATTTCACGCACGGCCACGCGTTACGCACGCCAGCCTACCGACTCCCGCGATGTGCGTTGTATGCGCGCCAGGGGTGTGGATGGAAGAAGAGGAGAGGTGGCCAAGCGATGACTTGGTCGAGAGGAATGAAGGCCCTTATTTTGATGTTGGCCTCAGTTGGAGCGTCTCGGCTCCCTGGTTGGGGACCGAAGGACGATGAACACATTTGGTTGGATACACTTGCTGACATGGCTAGGAGCTGACCTCAATGGCGTTTGTGTTGTGAGTTCCTTTGTCTACCCTCTCCGCTTAGTCTACCCATCTAACCACGAGCTCAATTAACAGGTATTTCTTGATTTGACTTTTTGAGACACAATGGCCAGCTGTTAGCTCTCCCGAACGATGTCCATCGGTTACTTTTGACTCACCTGGCGTACCTGTGTTTCACTTTTTTCTTTTCTTTCATATTGCGTCACCATAGCTGAGGTGTTTCCCATCTACAGCTACCGTGTATAATGATGAGTATGTAACCTGACGGTGCGGGTTCTGACCTGCGTAGGGACAGCGTGCCTCTTACAGTATCATTGGCCCACGTGCAACTGGTGGTTGTTGCGCGGCAGAGAAAGGTCGGTATTGCGTACCGGTCCTCTGGTGATTCTTATCACACGTGTCATATCCAATTAATCGGATTGCTAGAAAAGTGGGATCACATCGTTGTTGGGCTTCATATGAGTCTTACAGTTTAGGAAACCATTTGTTGAATGTCTGTTTCGTTGTTGCGCTTATGAACTCAACACCGTCAGTGACAGCTTGATTTCGGATATCACCACTTCGTAAGGAACGATCACTCCTTGTTACACAGCCGGATTCTGTTCAGAGTTTGCTGCTTGAATGTGCTCGAAACCGCCCTAAACCTGTTTTCTTCATCATCATTCCAACTGTTCTCTTACCCTGTTCCTCAACAGCATGGAAGGCAGTATCGTACATCTTCCCGAAGTGATCGCACTGAAGAAAAAGTACAAAGCCTATTTATATCTGGATGAAGCACATAGCATTGGCGCACTTGGTCCTCGCGGTCGCGGAGTTGTGGACTACTTCGGTGTGAACCCTCGCGACATCGACGTCTGCATGGGGACATTTACCAAAAGTTTCGGTTCTTCTGGTGGCTACCTGGCAGGCTCACGTCGTCTAATTGATTATCTGCGTTCGTGCTCTCACAGTGCCGCTTTTGGTGGCAGTATGCCGGCCCCAGTGACTCAGCAGATCATCACGGCGATGCGAGTGGTGATGGGCCGCGAGCACCCTGGTGAGGGTGAGAGACGGTGAGATTTCTTTGGAATGTGTCTACTCACCATTTCTCTAAGTGTTGAATCATGCTATACCATACTCAGCCTGAGGTCTGGTGCGTTTCTGTTAAAATGCCAAACACTCCTACGGCTTTTATTTTAGTCTCAGCATTTTGCTTGTGACAGATGTGTTACTGAGCGTGTGATACGGCAGCTGTCGCTCTCCTCCGTCTTCGTTTTGGCATTAACCACTACAGAATTTTCGCTCAGCCGACCACCACATTGTTTCCAGTGCGTCTGTTATTTCCGGAGTGCTAATAACCTCGGATTTAGTCTGTCCTCTTACAGAATATTGGGTGAGTGCTCTATTGATCTTCTTTGATCGCCCAATTGAGATAATTCGGTTCGGCTACCAGGGATTTGGCACTCGGTTGCTGATACTCGGAAGTCATGGCGCTTAGTTTCACATCTCTGTTGGTGAATATTTATTCATTCAGTGTACACCTCAGTTAGAGGTGGGAAGCACCTAAACTACTGTGCCGCAATGAATAAAAGAAAAAAGAAAATAACTGCAACAGTTGAATGTTAACTGAGCTGCCAGCAACGGATTGGTATCGTTCCGGAAAGCTACCAGCCGGCTACCAGGCAACAAAAAAAATTATTATGTAAAATTATATTCTACGAAATGAGATTGTGGTTGTAGCGGGAGCCTAAAAGAGATGAGGAGGGACAAAGAAACTCACAACACAAACGCCATTGAGGTCAGCTCCTAGCCATGTCAGCAAGTGTATCCAACCAAATGTGTTCATCGTCCTTCGATCCCCAACCAGGGAGCCGAGACGCTCCAACCGAGGCCAACATCAAAGTAAGGGCCTGCATTCCTCTCGACCAAGTCATCGTTTGGCCACCCCTCCTCTTCTTCCATCCACACCCTTGGCGCGCATACAACGCACGTCGCGGGAGTCGGTATTCTGGCGCGCGTAACGCGTGGCCGTGCGTGAAATAACGATGCTGAGCGGTTCGCTTCTCCTTCCTACGCCATAAACAAGGCTTCGGACACGCTCATTGCTCACATGGTGTTCCCACCAAATATGAGCCAAACTGCGAAGGCACCGGTGCTCCAACGTAACTAGCCTCCTTATGTCCACTGATCTAAGGGGTCAAGTTTCACAACCGTACAATGGGGTCGAACGTACGGCTGCATTTTATACTCAACCCTTTAGAGCGAGAGTGATGTCGTGCCGGCACCATTGGTGACGAAGGTTAGCAAAAGCGTCTGGAGCTCTTGCTACACATTTTGTGACCTCGTCATCCATCCTAGGGGCGCTAATACAACTTCTCATGTAGTTGTATTTTTGAACGATTTCTAGCTGGTCCCCACCAAGGGTCAGCGCAGAACACGGTTCCTGCCAATTTTAAAGGAATGCTTTGCACTTCGTGAGCACAAAGCATAGCCCGAAACCGGTGACAGTCATTGCTAATCTGTCCAGTGCCGCTTGGCACGTTTGTGAGCTGTCACAGATGAGGGCAATATCGTCAGCATACTCCAAGTCAATAAGTCATTCTCCTGGGAGCAGATCTACACCTTCCCAGTCGTGTCCTGTTAACGCGATTTCCATGACTTCGTCAATAGTGAAGTTGAAAAGGAAAGCTGACAGCGGGCATGCTTGTCTCACGCCGCTGGAAATATTGAAGGGCGGCAACAGCTGATCGTAAGCCCTCACTCTGCCTGAGCTACGCGCGTAAAACGCGCGCACAACATTTACATGCTTCTCGGGCACACCTTTCCTTAGCAGACAGTTTCAAAGGGCACGTCGGTCCACTGAATCGAAGGTACCTTTGATGTCGAGGAACACAACAACGGTGGGCCGCCAATATATGTGACGGTGCTCCAACAACTGACGTAATGTGAATATGTGGCCGATGCATCCCCGAGAACGACGAAACCCGGCTTGCTCGTCACGAATCTGGCTTTCAGGAGTACCAGTCAGTCTGTGAAGGATGAGTGAGGCAAGCACTTAGGAGGCGATGGAGTTCAGACTAATTCCTCTATGGTTGCCGCATTCTGAACGCGAGCCTCTTTTGAGGATGGGAACAATAACGGCGCGGATGCATTTGGTTGGGACAGTTTCCTGCTCCCAAAGTTTCACTAGTAATTCATCCAAGTCGTCCTCATTGGCACTTCTTTTTGAATTTGAAGAGCGTGATTTTAAAATCATATGGTCTCGCGGCTTTATTTCACTTCAGTCGTGCGATCTGACGTTTGACTTCGGAGCGATAGTGCGGATCCAAGGGGACAACGCACGGAGCAGTGCGATAGTTGACAAGCGAGAAATCTGACAATTCTGACCAATTGAATTGCCTTTCAACGTGCTTTGTCTAACTCTCCAAACGTTTTGACAAGTTGTAGATAGGCTGTCCACTCTCGTTCCGTATAGTTTCACTTACACCAGGTCTCCTGCTGCTGATTGTTTCCTGTATCAGACTGAATAACTTGTGATGGTTACCAATGGCAGCGGCCATTTCCATATCCGATGCAACATGAGACCACCAGGATTCGCTTTCTCTCTTTAGGCTAGCACGGAGATTTGCCCGGAGGTTTCTACGAGTCTCGTGTTCGCTTCCAGTCTTAATGTGGCGGCGAGCATCGATAAGTTTCAGATGCTGCGAAGAGACCCAATATCCATTTTGGCCATTAGACTTACTACCTGAGTATTTGGCTGCAGCTACTATAGTCTGGTGACCATCAGACCAGTGAGCTTCATTTGTATCCAGTGTGCGCTAACTGAACTCGCATGCCAGTGTACTTTGATTGGCATTCAAGACCGTCGACTTCGTCAGTTGGCTGGTGTCAATGCGCTTACAGGGTCGTCGTGAGCGCCCGTCAAGACACATCCGCAGGTCAGCACATCCAATTACATGATCTGTGTCCACACAGTGTTCCATATCGTGTGACAGTTCTGGATGCAGCCTTTCCGGTCGAAACTTATTGCAATATGATCGATTTGCGTCCATAACCTGTTCGAGGCTGGTGAGCGCCAAATCACCCTCCGGCGGTGCTGTGTCGGACCTTAGTGCTCGCGAGAACTAAGCGGACATCTTCATACATATGGAATAATCGCTCCTGGTATTCATTTCGGGGGCCTGTACCGTGTTGGCCTCCCAACTGCAGTTCATCAGTGGACAATTTCCTAGCTCGCGCGTTCAGATCCCCGGCAAACACTACAGTGTCGGAGCTTCTTCTGTGGCGAAGGGGCTCGTTCAGTTGATGATGGAAGGCGTCTTTTACCGAATCATCGCTACAGTTTGTGGTGGCGTAGGCAGCGATGACGAATTGACACCTGTTAGTTCCGCGTGACTTCGAAGGTTTGAACGAGCCAGCCAGTCGGCCCGCACAAATCCGGCTACTGATTGCGATGCAGTCAACCAGAGCAGCTTCGTCACGGGGACTCAGGGCAATACCAACACCAGCTTGACCGGAGCTCGAAGCTTCATGGTCTGCGGATCGGTGCAATGTGAAAGTGCTGCTAATGCCACTTGAAGGGGATCGCAGAGTAGCACAGTGCTCGAGTTTTGCAGGCGGATCTCCGAAAAGCAGCAGATATCGATGGAGAGGGTCTCTAATGTTCGGGCAAGTGCTGCCTGTTGACCGATCTGTAGCAATGTGCATACATTGAGGCGTACCAATCTGAGGGAGGATCGGTGGCCCCAAATGGAAGCCGATGAACTGGGGTTGATCGCATGATTGGACATGAGCTTGTCGACAGGAGAGGAATGACGCTTTGCGTTCACATGTGAGTTGAAACTAGAAGATAAACGTCTATCAAAGCATGGTAGGAGAGGATCAAGAATTGGGGGGTTGAAAGCAGGGGGATAAAAGTGAAGCTGGGGTGTAAAAGCGTTAGAATGGGAATATGGAGATAGGAAGGCTTGAGCAGTAGCACCCAAACCCCTATCCACCTTGCTCGATGCAGTAGATAGGGCACCGTTGGTTACCTTCTGCAGTGGCCGGAGCATCAGGAAATTGTTTGAGAAAAGATGCATAGTATTGCGTGAACAGGATACTGTCAGGTAATCACGACATATACAGGAGAACGATTAGGGTTCTCAAGCAAAGCCTTTGGTTCAGAAACCTGATCGCAAGGCAGCGGGTTTGGCGTTGGGCTACAAGGAGTCCGTTTAAGGAATAAGGTGCCACCCTCATTCTAACCCCGAATCTGGAGGACCAGGAGTCTGCGTTTGTCTGGCCTCTAACCATTGACCAATCTGGTATGAGTGTTTTTGAAGGTGCAAAAAGCACCACCCAGCATAGCTCACTGGATCGATGAAGCACATAAACCATCTCACCACGGTAAGGTCCAGCCTCATTGCCCGTTTTGGTGAATAAATGCAGATTGCATGGCCTTCTGCGGGCGCTTATTATGCTATGTCTGCTAAAATCCCCTTCGTACACACGCGTAAAATTTTTTCAAATTTTGTGTACATATGTACGCATGCTCTCATTTGCATGATTGCCGATCAACCAACAAAATTGTCCGTTCACTATGTTAAAAAATGCAATACGTCCTATCTACACGAGGACTGATTGTTTGAATCAAACTCTTTTGCCCTGTGCACATATAATGAAACAATGATTTTATACGGGTAACAAAGCTAAAGCTTAACAGATCTCGTAGGATGGTGATGATGAATATTGCAGAATGTGGAAAAGACGTGAGCAAAGGTAGTTTCACACCGCGGTATACGTAGCATGAATGGTATATCCACAATATGTCCATAAGGGGTGACGACATATGGGACTTTTTTACAACTCCTGCCTCTTGGTGAACACCTACAGGAGGTGAAAAAGCTGGAATCTATTCTGGGAGCTAACCGTCAGTGAAATCTCTAACAATCACTCATGTTTGGCCATGAGCAATAAGTCATGTGAGTTGGTGCAGGTAAATGAGTGCACTGCCAACTCTACCGTCATGGATGCACTGATGACAGATTCTTGTAGGGCATTCCACGCTTGGCAAACACGTGCGAAAAAGAAA